GGTGAGCGCGGGTGACGTGTGATAACCGAGAATGACCGTGGAACTTTACGTCCGTAATAATTTGCGCGCTGCATTATCTAGTATTGATAATCGCATTGTGCCTCCGTTTAGAACCGATAGTAGCAGTTAATGAGCGTAGCCGTGCAAAGGAGAAAAAACGTCTTCGGATCCGCCGGAGCACGAGCTCGTTACTCATACCGATACTCCTCGGACTCACGTATATTCTCGTTTCTTTTACGTATCTTTTTCTCTCGCCGATAATCGCGGGAATGTAAACATGCTACTCGAGATCGATACGTCGCACATTGGGCCAGGAGACTAGAAAAAGTGGCCAAAATTTCGAGTAAAGAAGCGTTCTGACTTTATCTACATAAGTCAAAGCACTGTTGATAAAAATTTTATATTGATTGGTTAATTAATCTTCCATTAACAACGTCTTGAACCTAAAAATTTTCCTGTAAGGACAATTATTTTTTTTTAAGATTTTCATAATTCTGACTACATTACACAAATTTCAATATTTTCCTCTCATTTTAAAAAATGTTGTGTATATACTTATCATGTAAGTATCCCTATAAACACGAGAATTAAAAAATGTTTTTGTTTTGATCCATTGTATGTCTGCTTTATTGAATTTTATAGTATCATATACGCTGTCGAATCACGCCATAACACGCTCCATCAAGCCAAAAACGATTTCATAGCATCCCTTCCAATGTATATATGAAGTTTAGTCGGCAACTTTTTTGCTCTTTCGCGGATATCTTAGGAATTCGTAAAATAAATAAATACGTCGAGATTAACAAAAAGGAAAGTTCTTGTCAAAAACAAAATTCCCAGTGATTCTGATAGACACTTGGGCGTTGGTTACATTTTGACAAAAGCTAAAAATTGATTAAAAAAATGTGAGAAAAGATGATTTAGATCGCCTGAAGACCTGTGTGTCATCTTTGAGAACCAGACGCAATGAAAAATTCATCGCGGCTAGCAGAAAGCTAGCTAAATTAAAATAAATTTGAATTGAAAAATTCAGCCTGGCTAAACCTTTTGGTATCAAATTGCTACACAGTCAGAGCATTTTTAGCAATTTCGTTTGCCATATTGGATCCGGCATTTTGAATTTCTGAATTTTGAATACGGATTCGAAATCAGCAACCCCGAGAACCTCGGACTACCACATTTCATAACAATTGGAACGCTTTTAATATTTTGGCCACTTTTTCAGTTTCCTGGCTCACAGTGCGCCGTAGGAAAAGAATTATCTGTCAGTATCGGCGATTTCTCATTTGTCACGCGAAGCCTCGTGGAACTCTTCCCGATATTGTCTTGTCGATATTCTTTTCCGTCTCCGCGTATCTATTTTAATTTTCGCCTAAAAAGATAACTTCCACGAGCGATATTAAAATATATCAAAGGGAAACATGCCCCGAGCTGATATCCGACGTATATTTAGAATTTCGAAACGCGCGCTTTCGATCCCTCGACTTCGCAGCGGTGAATTTTCACGACGCGTGCGTCAATTCGATTTTTCCATCGCTTCCTCGCGCGTGACGTTACACGTCAACGCGCATGCGAAACCTCTCAATCGGAAACATTGTTTTCGCTCTCGTTTGCATCACGAATCCGATCGATGTTAAATAATGAGCTGTTGAGATTTCGACTCGTGTAAATCGCCGTTAAGCAGTCTTTACGTAACGTTTCGCTTTTTTCTCCCTTGCGGTATTCAAGGCATCACTTCTATTCGCTAAGCACCGTCGCGCATATCATTCTTGCTCATTGTCATTAGCGCGAGACTCGAGCCTCGTTATATTTCTCTTTGTGCTAATTTTATCTTCGGTTTTGGATTACTTTGTGAGGAACGACGAACACAGCTGGCGGGACGCAGCTTATACGTGATTTAGCAACTTCAGCGGTTCAACAACTCCTCGGAAGACGCGTAGTTCACGCGTTCTCCTATTTTCCTTATCGCTTTTTCGCGAAAGAAAACGTGCGAGACGAGCACGCGCTCGCGATAAACCGACCGTTCACCATCGACGTTGGGTAAACTTTGGAACTCTCATTCACACCGGCGCGTAAAAATGCGAGATAACGAGCGGCCATGAAGCATTTCTTTCGATAGTACGCGACGCGTTGGAGGTGACGTATACAGAGTGCAGTTGTGAAAATAGTAAATTGCAGACAAAATACGCGATTGAAATTTAAAACACTCTGCCGCAAGAGGAGGCGGAGCACGCTCTCTGTCTCAAACGTCCATTCGCAAGTATAGGGTTTAAAGTCCGACGCGATGTCCTTCACTTTTTCTCTTTCTTTCGCGAACTACAATCTCCGCGGTACATAGTGCGATGCGACAGATAAACAGCGCTGAAATGCACCGCGAATCGTTACGGTACGCGTACAAAGTGCGCATTCGATTGTCGGCGTCAGAAAGGAGACGTTTGCGTCCGCGAGGCTGTCGAAAACGTGCCGATAAATATTCATCTATCTATCTATTGAAAATGCAACGCGAATGTGTGCGAACGCACACATTCGCGTTGCATCAGGCGGGAGGTCGCCTGATTTGCAATTCGATCGACGCGATCGCGCGAATTTCCGCGAGCCCCTCCGCGAGGACGTCTTCGCCTGGACTGCTTCCGTAATCCCCGAGTAACTGTCGGAAAATTGTCGTCTCCTCGCTCCGAGAGACCGAGAGTCTCTCATATTTCTCCTTCGGTGAATTCTCAACAATCTCTCAGTTACTCGTGCAACCTGCGAACATTTGATCGATTGAAGTGACGGAAGATCACTTCCTGTCGTCTCAATTCGTCAATATTTCACTTGATCGCGCTTTCCGCCGCTTTCGTTCTCATTTTCACCTGCGGCAGTCCGACGATCAACCCGTCGCCTGAGTTGATTTCCCCTCAGAGACGGAATCGAGAGAGAGAGAGAGAGAGAGAGAGAGAGAGAGAGAGAGAGAGAGAGAGAGAGAGAGAGAGAGAGAGAGAGAGAAAGAGACGAATCTACGCGGCTTACGCCGTTGCTCGACGGTTCAAGCTGACGCGTGCGCTTCTAACAAAGTATCCGGTAGACCCCATAGAAATCGTATCGCGCACGCACGCACGCACATACTTAATCTACACACTTGCCTTCCGCAAAACGAATACAACGTGTGTGCGTTGCGTGTGTGCACATGCACGTGTCTGCGTGTGTGTGTGTGTGTGTGCGCGCGCGCGCGCGCGAAGTCTCCTAGTATAAGAACGTAGGCAGGAGTACCGACCCAGCAGTCTTTGGCACGTGCTGCGAGATACTGGAGAACGATACTCGTTGTAGACGTTCTAGCGAGGGAAACGCGAGGCGAACCGGATCGGCGATTTTTCCGCGATTTCTACCGCGAGCACGGTGAAAGTTCGCCCCCGCGCTTTTTCACGATACGTATACGAGTGGGTGTCCGGCCGGCCGGCGAATCGAGACGATGACGCTGAAATCGGCCGACTTCGAAGCGCCATACCTGAGGAGAACGGTACGCATTGGAAATAGCGTCTGGAGGGATGAAATAGACGAGAGGGAGAAAACGAATACGAGGATAAGGGTGATAAAGATAGGGAGGGGCGAAGAGAGACTCGGTTTTTCGACTCGATTCTACTTTTCTCTCTTCAAGACGTTTCGAATACTTTCTTTGGGATGAAGTTTGAGAGACGCAGGCGATGGTCTTACAAGGGGGAACTCGTTTCTGAGAGAGATTCTCGCAGAAGTTGAGTCCTCTCACCGCGGACATTCGCCGCGTTCAGTAAGTGCGTTCGGGGAGGGAAAAGTGTTGAAATAATCTTAAAGGCCAGTGTACAGTTGCGCTGTAATTTAAAACAAAAATATGGGTATTAATAAATATTGCGCTGACGTCAGACAGCTGCAAAATTTGCGCGACTATCCCCCGAGATCCTCCCACGTCCCACGTCCCGCTCTCTTGTACATACTTTTCGAATACCGAATAGCGAGTGCTTCGCTCGTCTCCTTCTTTCCCTCTGCCGATTCTTTCGACCGCCGCACAGTGAGGCCAGATGACATTCTTGGGTTGAAAATTCTCTAGAGACCTGAATTTCCAACCGATCATCGACACCAATGGACGAGGTTGATCCCTGAATAAATCCCGAAGAGATCTGCCATCCATTGATGTCGATGATCGGTTGGAAATTCAGGTCTCTAGAGAATTTTCAACCAAAAAATGTCATCTGGCCCCACTGTGCGCCGGGCGATATCACGTATCATGTTTGTACCCGCGTGTTACATATTCATCGCTTCGTTAACATACCGTGCGTATTAGATGCACCATATCGACGGCTATATTTCAGGAAGGTACAACTGCCTTGCGCTGCGCGTACGCTCATCCCGAGAGTATCATGCGCGCGAATATTCCTCTTGAGAATTCCTCTGTGAACTTACCTGTTATGGATCTCGATAATATATTATTATTATTATTAATTCAATATTACATATCTCAAGCTCGAAACGCCTTGAAATATCAAGTTCGATCTTGAGTGTAACGACGAGCGACGCGTTGTTTCGACGTTGTGCGTTCCCATTTTATATTTCCCCTTGCTCGGGAAATGTAATTTCTCTCTTTCTAAGCCGAGAAATTTGGCATATGTATGTGTGTGCGTAATATACACTGAGAAAAAAATTGTATTAAAATTAAACAAATATTTGTTCGAATACGACTGCGAATACACTTACTTGAATTAAGCAATTATTTTCTAAAATTCGAGAAAAATGTTTACATTCAGAGAGAGAGAGAGAGAGAGAGAGAGAGAGAGAGAGAGAGAGAGAGAGAGAGAGAGAGAGAGAGAACCTCTGTATTTCATTTTAGAAATTAGTCGCTTAATTTGAATAAATGTACTCACAGCCGTATTCGAACAAATATTTGTTTAATTTTAATACAATTTTTTCTCAGTGTAATAAAATACATCTCACATGAGAATATTGCCTTCTTAAGACAAAGATAATAATTCTCTCGTGGCTTTCTGTTGCAGGGTCTCAATGGCCGGCTAGCGTTCGCTATAGCGGCGGCCGCCCTCGGCTCGTCGTTCCAACATGGATACAACACCGGTGTGGTTAATGCTCCTCAGCAGGTACCGAGTTCCGCATTGATTCTGTCATAGGATAGCTCTTAAAGCGTTTTACATCGAGCACGAGAAGATTCCAATGTCCCAATAATGTTCCGCAGCTTATCGAGGACTGGATCAGAGAGCTGAAGACGAACCGAACGAACACCCTGACGACTCAGTCGGAGGTCACGCTGATCTGGTCGGTAGCTGTGTCAATATTCTGCGTCGGCGGGATGATAGGCGGCTCGCTAGTAGGTTGGGTGGCGGACCGCTTCGGCAGGAAGGGCGGTTTGTTGCTGAACAACGTGCTAGTGCTGTTGACCGTGATCTTCGAGGGTAGCGCCAAGGCGGCCAAGAGCTACGAGATGATCATCTTCGGCAGATTCATCATCGGCATAAACTCCGGTTTGAACGCCGGTTTGGCGCCGATGTACTTGGCCGAGATATCACCGGTGCACTTGAGAGGCGCCGTCGGCACTGTCTACCAACTGGTCATCACCATCTCCATCCTGGTGTCGCAGATCCTAGGCTTGGAACAGATACTCGGCACCGCCGAACAGTGGCCGTTGTTGCTCTGTCTGACGATCGTACCCGCGATCTTCCAAGTGTGCACACTGCCTCTCTGTCCAGAGAGTCCCAAGTACTTGCTACTCAGCCGCGGCAAGGACATGGACGCGCAAAGAGGTGTGGTTCACTGCATCGAGCACACGTGTGGTCACTCAGTATGAATGAACGTATCGAGATTCTCAGTTGTATCGGATTAATCACGTCGGGAATCAGATAAAAGTGCAGCGTGAGAAGGAAATTCGCGTGATCGTCCGCTCTCGATGTCGTAATTCAGTTACAACGAATGTTCAAGAGAATCTCGAGACGCGTCTCGAGACAGAGAAAGCTTATCGAGTTTATCAAGATCGACTCGTATGCCGCTTGTAGAATCTACAGTTATTCTAAAATCCCCGCCGTTTCTGCCAGAATGGGTTTTTGTCCCGCTTCCCTTCTTACGGGCTTTGTTCACGTTCGCTGTTTCTCATGAAGCATCTTTCTTCCAGCATTGACCTGGTTGCGCGGCACCATCGAGGTTCACGACGAGATGGAGGAGATGCGTTCAGAGTACGAATCGATGAAGCTGATACCGAAGGTCACGCTACGCGAGCTGTTCGTGAATCCAGCGCTGCGGATTCCGTTGTTCATCTCCATCATGATCATGTTCGCCCAACAGTTGTCTGGTATCAACGCCGTCATGTTCTTCTCAACGAAGATCTTCACCATGGCGCAACTCGACAAGACCGCTGCACAAAACGCCACAATGGGCGTCGGCGCGATGAACGTCCTCATGACCATCGTTTCCCTGGTGTTGGTCGAGAAAGCAGGCAGGAAGACGCTGCTCCTTGTTGGCTTCGGCGGCATGTTCCTGGATACTGCTTTGCTCACTATTTGTCTCATATTTGCTGTGAGTATTTGCGTTTCCTCCATTTCCAGCTAGTTGGAATTTCGGAACGAATAAGTACAGCGATTACAACGAAACTGAAGGAACGACCATCAAATGTGTTCGCGCTTTTAAATAATTAATATAATTTATCTCGCCGTATAATTTATCTCTGATTTTAAAATTACATATATATGTATATATATCAAAAATCATAAATTATATTATAGAGATATTATATAAATTCGAGACCATAAAATTTACTTCTAACAATTTACTTTTAGGAAACATCACGAGTAGCGGCGTATCTTTCGATCGTGCTCGTCATCATGTTTGTGGTTCTCTTTGCTACTGGTCCCGGAAGTATTCCATGGTTCTTGGTATCCGAGCTTTTCAATCAATCCGCCCGACCACCCGCCACTTCGATCGCCATCGCCGTAAACTGGACCGCAAACTTCATCGTCAGCATCGGTTTCTTGCCGCTGCAGGAGGCGGTAGGCGCCTACGTGTTCATCATCTTCGCAGTGTTACAGGCATTCTTCACGATCTTCATATATAAGAAAGTGCCGGAAACAAAAAACAAGACCATGGAGGAGATTAGCAGTATGTTTAGGCAGATATCGTATCAGTGAGAACGAACTAAACGAGGTCTCCAAGAGACGAAATCTGCATCGGTACCGTTTGAGCGATGGGTGTACGTTCCTCTGTCTATCTTTGTCTCTCTGTCTGTTTATCTCTCTGTCTGTCTTTGTCTCTCTGCACTTTCGGCGAGGAACTCAGCAGCTCAGCGAAAATGGCGTTATTGTAACGGTCTATCAACGCGCTTCCACGCATTTCGATCACACGCTGTATCGGAGTTCACCGAATAAGCATCTGAAGATGAACATTCATCCACGAGAAAACGCGCGATCACGTCGTGATATAGCCGACACAGCAGTGCCAACTAGGAATTCGGAAATTTTAACCTTTCACTTTGTTTTAGCCTTTTACTTTTTATCTTATTCTTTTTTAATTGAGAAACTCAAGGGAGACTCTGTCGCGAAAGCTTCGTGTCGAGCGAGTTAGCGTCGGATCGCGCAAACTTAATCCATTCAGTTCCTATTATATCGAATGCGAAGAGACATCGCGCTGTCGCGGGAAAGCAAAATTCAACAGTCGAGACAGCAGCAGAACGCAATTTGTTCGTCGAATTCGTTCTGTTCGTTACATCGTGGGGACGCGATGACGCGCACCATGATTGTATCGGTACGAAGGACCATGCAATTCTAGTCATGCGAGAATACCTGCATGCGCCGAGAGAACATCGATCTTATGTGCACCCTGGCTGACTATTTTGTCGGAACCTCCAAGATTTCTCTCGCTTCGACGATGTCACTTCGCCAGATTCGGCAAATTTCGCACGATGCGGATACATCGAGTTGCGTAGCGTATCTCAGAGAAATCGGTAACGCGAGAAAGTGTAAAAGAAATTGCTCATCCTTTTTCTTTAAAGGCGTGTGAGAAGCTTCGCGTTCCATTATCGCATCGCGTTACATACGGAGAAGTACGGACAACTGTTGTTGAAAGAAAAGAGAGGGAATTTGTTTTGCGTGAGAAAAGAGCGTCAGCTGCTTTTCTTTTTTACAGGATAATTTGTAACGGAAAAAGAATTTGAATAACATTTCATTGCGCGAGCCAAGATTCTAATTTTATTGAACGGGAACGATGCGAACACACAGCGTTTAGCATAAATGTACATATAAAAGTGTAAAGATTAGTATTGTGTATAGCATAGGGAATAATTATATATATATATATATACACAATATATATTTATGTATGCATGTAGTTAATTAATGTTTAAGAGGGATATATCGATGTTGTCATATTTTTAAAATGGCCAGACTAATTTTAATGGTAAAACATATATACATACATACATTACGCTGAACGCAAAAACTCAGGAATTTACTCTGATTGTTATCGCATAAATTGCAGATGAATGTGATGTAAATTTGTTTTTTTTTTTTGTTACATTGTGTACACACGCAGTCTCGAAGAATACTCATATATAATAAAACCGTTTTAATATTAACGCTCTGACGAGTTCATTGTAAACGGCAAGGAGCTGAATTTGCCTGATAAATGTGCTGTAAGATCAATTGCTCTCCGATTTTTCCTACAAACTGTCGTTCAAAAAAGAAAAAAAATCATGTGATCAAGTTGAATTCGAAGTTTACTACATGTACGATGTCGAGCAGTCTGCTTAAATGAAACACACATGCCGTATATCCAAATAATCGGCTATTAATATTCTACTTGTCGCAAAATTGTAAATAATGCAAAGGTCTTATATTCTTAGCTGACCGATTGCTCTAATTAACATATAAGTTTCTGCAACAAGGTTATAGCATTTAGTTTTAGTCCAATTCTTTTATAAATAAATCTGTCGAGTTTTTGTAGCATCAATCTACGTCGAGGTCGATCGTAAAAAATAATACAATGAGTACTTTGTAAATCCATCCATTTGTCATCAGATCAGATGCTACTCGCAACGATCGTTAAGAATATATGGAATTTAATCAAAATTCAATAACTTTGTTAATTTATTCGTTTACGGAAAACGTCGTTGGGTGTTATAAAATATATATACAATCTGTTACAATTTTTATGATATTTGATGCTGATTGTCTGAATAAAATGATTGGAATTTTAAGTACAAAATAAAATTCTACTTTTCAATTATTCAAGAATCTTTGTGTATTCCAATCCAGAGAACAATACGAAATCTTATAGATGTTCAACAGGTGTTCACACAAGATGTCCCAATATCTTATGAGAATATATAATTATTTATAAATATTTCACATGAATTCATAATAATTTCCCTGATAACATACATGGGAAAACAATTCTCTCTATAGTTTAAGCATAAACAAAGTTTGCTTATGTTATTTTATGAACGTTATTTTGTATATATCAAATTTCTATAAGATAATTTTCATTGTCTTTTTCAGCAATCCTAAATTCAGAAAGGAGCTCAAGTATGCTTGAAGTTACACATATATTTATGAATATAAATATTTATTAACTCCTGGTATACATTTATAAAAAATATAAAACTTTTTAAGACAAATGATCCAATAATTATAAAATGCATGCTATAACAGCATAGATACAATCTGGTCATGTTAAATGCCAAATAATAAATGTTGGTAAATAACACTGTATCATTTATCATTACATTAATTCATACATGGATTGATTGAATGTTATTAACGCTTTGCCAGAGTGATGAGACATATAAAAATACTATTATCGAGTCAAACATGAGTGAGAAATATAACAGTAACTATTAATATAACTATTAGTTTAGTATAATATTAATATAAACATATATATAATTCGTGGTTGACTTTTATTACTTTAAATATATGTTATTTGTGTATACTACCCTGACTTAGAGTTTATTAAAAGAAAGAACTCAACTGCCTAAACAAAATTAAATATTGTACTGATTGCATAATTATTAAAAGTTTGCTTATTAAAAAACCAAGCAACTTATTGTATCCTGCATTATATAAAATCCAGTATATTTATTACAGTGTGTACAACAGGAGTTTTATAATCATATTACTCGTATAGTATGATTAACTTACAAAATATATCTTTCAATTGTCTTACCACGTAATTCCTGCCAATATGAGTGGAGTATATAATCCATGTTCAACACCACAAAATGGTTTGAATGTAAAAAGATTCTGCAAACAGTACATAGTGCATTTGTATAACAAACTGATGCGATAATATCTTCTTTCATGTGATGCAAGATTCCACAGTCTTTTTAACAGCATCACGAGCATATGGTATGTATGATAAAGAATACCATGTCATTGCTAAGGATTGAATAATTATAAATAGGAGGGCTAAGCCAGGATTGTGCAACTGTAAAAAAAAATAAACATTACAAATATATATTACAAATATACATGTCAGCAATATATTATAAACAATAAAATTATTATATATAATATATATTATAAACAATAAAATTATTATATATAATATATATTATAAACAATAAAATTATTATATATAATATATATTATAAACAATAAAATTATATGTCCTTACATGTAGAGCAGCAAATAACGTTAAAGCAATAGTAACAAATACTAATATAGTTGCAATTAATCTTGTTGGTGCAAACATCTTCTTAAACTGATTAAATGGACCCATTAAAAAACAGGTACTGAAACATACAAATTAGCATATGTAACATTATTCATACAGTTAATTTAGTAATATTATAATAGAAATATTCTAATGTATTATAAATCAATAATTTATCTTTTATATTATAAGAGTTTAATAATCAAAAGTCAATAATTAAACATAATATTACCTAGCCAAAGAAATAATATTTCCTAGAGTGTAGAACACAGCAAATACTGCAAGGCCTTTATTTAAGAATAAGGCAAATGATCCGAGAAAAGAACATAGTATACCAACAATGAAACATATTGCGAAACCTTTTATCCTGGTAGACCAACTCAGTGTCGATTGGTCCATGACCTGTATCGAACAAAATAAATATTAATTTTCACACTTTATACAAAATCAGGAAAATTATTATAACTATACAATATCACACGTTTCACATATTGTAGCTATATTAAAATATGTAAGTTTAATATAATTTACCACAAAATCCACATCAGCCTTCCATCACCGAGCGTACGTAAGCGTTTAAAGAAATAATTTTAGTTTATCGATAATATAATTTTTATGCAAGTAGACAGGTGTGCGATCCTTTCCCCTTGCTATCAAACATTCTAATATATTCATTAAACGTAATTACCTGCGTAATAATGCCACTTTCTTCGTCGCATTGTTCATTGCCACTCAGGGCTCTTCTTAATTTATCCATGTTTTGTCCAAATGCAAAGAAAAATGTTGCGCTAAATCAAAATAACGTGTACATCAATCTGTTCAATGCACGAGGTTATATATTCCCTTATTATACATTTATTGGTACATTTAAGATTACACGTATTGTCTGGATGGTCGTTTTATCAGAAAATTCTCGCATACGTTTCATCACACTTTGACAGAAAACATTTGCTATCACATTTATCTCTCGTCGATATGCGATGTAGTTTCTTGACGTTTTCGAGGCATCTAGTAACCAAAAAAAAAAAAAAAACCTAACGCAAAGAGCTGCCACGAGCGCTAGAGGAATAATCGCGAGTGTGCACAGACTGCGAGTTCCAGACGAGAGTTGTCAAAAGCTCCGTTCAAAGTTGTGTTTTCATAATACACTGTGCGCTATGGCATACAGTAGAACAAATGTACACAGGTTTCAGGCTATTTAAATTATACAGATTATAAGAATTTATTAATTAATTAGCCGTGTGTTACCGTACAGTGACAAGTAACATCGAAAACAATGTCGACATCAGAACCACTTGCGATCGTGCAATCAAAGTTTGTCTCCGGTGAGACTGTCATAACTGTATCCTTACTTAAATTTAATGAATAATAGATATATTATCTATTGTTTAACTATTTGTTATTAGAGGAAATCAGCAGATATATAGGAAGAGTGTGAATGTTTTGAGTAGAATGTTTTATCTCAATTCCTTAACTAAATCTAAATCTAGGCGACTGAAGCTTCGTTAATACAAGGATGGATAAAATCTACAAGATATGTTGCACTCATCTACAAAGGTTCTACTCATGCTTTAGCAATTTTCCTCACTTCAAAGACGCCTCCGCAAGTGTACAGTGATCTTACTCTTGAAGGAATATTGCCCATTGATCAAGATTTCAAATATATAATAGGTACCGTAATTTTTCCATAATAATTTAATGTCATTAATTTTATTTTAGTTTAGTTTAAAACTACTCTATTGTTAAGTGTATATGTGAACACATGGCTCTTTAATAAACAATTAAATATTTTTATGTTGTCAAATCTTTTTCTCTTGTCTCTATAGATACCAATGGAGAAGCACAGGATGGTCTTGATGTATACATGAATATTGCTTCAAGAAAACTTCGTCTGATATTTGAAATGAAGCTGGGAGAAGCAACAAGTTCCTTAGTATCAGAAATATTCCGTGCAATAGAAGGTATATATATATATATTATTTTCATTAATGTTCCATATTTTGATTTGTTAAACAAAATAGATGTGAGATAACAATGTATCTTAAATATTCTATAATCTTTACATATAAATGATCTGTTCTTAAAACTAAATAATTACAATTGCAGTATATCAAACAACTAAAAGTCCAGCATCAGAATTCTCATGGATTGAAAAGTTGACAAGAAGTACAAGAAGTTTAGCAACTACAGATAAAGATGTAGATGCTGCTGACTATGTGAGTTAGTCTATAGTAAAAATAGACAGTATAAAAATTGATCTTATTCGTAGAAATTCTTTTTAGTAAAAGTTTACTGCTTTTGCAGTTGCTCAACCTTGAGAGTCCTGATTTTGTAGTGCCAAAACCATGCATCGCTTCGGGTAGATCGCCGGTAGCTACAAGAGAGTCAGTAGTACGATACCAGATGGCCTGTAAAGAAGATGATTATATGTATAGCAAAACATTCCGGTTCGTTGCTACATTGACTTGATTATTATAAAAGTCCTTTTCATGTCACTTTTTATTTCATTGACTAGTGTTGTGTATAAACCATTTCAACAGCCACCATTAATAATTACAGTATTCTTACTTGCACATGGAATGTGAATGGACAACCCCCAAATGGCATTAAATTAGATCAATGGTTAAGCTCCGATGAAACACCACCGGATATATACGCTATCGGATTTCAAGAATTAGATTTAAGTAAGGAAGCATTCCTATTTCACGAAACTCCCAGAGAAGAAGAGTGGAGGTATGACATTCGTGTCGTGTTCGCAGAAATTAAGAATGATATATATGTCAGCACAATGTGTGTAACATGAAAAAATTCTCTTTCCTAGACAAGTTGTAGTTAATTCGTTGCATCCTGGAGGTGTCTATACTCAAGTTGCTCTCGTCAGATTAGTAGGTATGATGTTGCTGGTGTATGCGCTTGAGCCTCACATACCTTTCATTGAATACAGTACCGACACAGTAGGTACAGGCATTATGGGAAAGTTGGTAAGTTTCTATTTGTGTCATCTCAGCGAAAATATATTTTTTGTAATTGATCGATAATAACGCGCATAAAATCTGATTTCTCTTAACATACAGTCGATTGTTACGTACATATTTTAATACCCGCTTATTTTTCTATAGGGTAACAAGGGTGGTGTCGCGGTAAGCTGTCGTATTCACAATACCTCCATCTGCTTTGTCAATGCTCACCTGGCAGCACACTGTGAAGAATTTGAACGACGTAATCAGGATTACGCTGACATCTGCGCGAGATTGTCGTTCGCAAAATTTGTACCACCTAAGAGTTTTAAGGATCACGAGTGAGTTTCGTTTAAATATATACGTATTCGTGATCGTATTAATCATTAAATTTGCCGTTTACTTCATGCGTGTCTGTATTTCTAATCTAATTTTATCGTTTATCTAATTTGTTCAATCTATCTCGAGGTATAATTAATTTAAATCGAATTGATCTCGTAGCCAGATTTATTGGCTGGGAGACTTAAATTATCGAATAACAGAGATGGATGTTAACGTGGCTAAGCATCACATCGCGGAAGGCAATTATTCTCCCGTTTTGACGTACGATCAGCTTGGACAGCAACGCAAAGCAGGACGTGTGTTTCATGGATTTCACGAAGCTGAGATCGATTTTAAACCGACGTACAAATACGATCCTGGTACCGACAATTGGGATTCGAGGTTTCTTTCAAACTGTATTCAATATATCCGAAACGAATCTTATAAGATGAAATTTAGTCGAACATACGATTTATTATTTTCGTGACACGAAATGTAGCGAGAAATGCAGAGCCCCAGCTTGGTGTGATCGAGTACTGTGGAAAGGAGACGCGATAAAGTCGATTAGCTACAAGAGTTACATGGAACTCAAGATATCCGATCACAAGCCGGTCAGCGCAAGTTTCGATTCGCAGGCAAGTGCACCTTTCTCCATAGCAATTCAATTATATGTTGTGCGTCCCTCGTGGAAATAATATATAATCTCGTATGTTCTACCATTCAATTTTCCAGATACGAATTATAGACACGGCCAAGTATCGTAAGATTCACGAGGAAGTGATGAAGAAGCTCGATAAATTGGAGAACGAATTTTTGCCACAAGTGATGGTCGATACGACGGATATTATCTTTGACGTTTTGAAGTTCCTTGAGCCCAGTAGCAAAGAGCTCATCATCGCTAACACAGGCCAAGTAAGTAGATTAAATAAGTGAGGCTTCGTGAAACGTTAGGACAGAAAGTTTCCATTCTCTTATTCCTCTCTCTCCTCTTGTATTTTGCAAAAAATAGGTGCCAGTGCAATTCGAATTCATAAAGAAGTTAGACGATACCAGTTACTGTAAGGATTGGCTACACATTGAGCCTTATACAGGCTTTATAAAACCAGGTATGGACTTTTATTTCTCACGAAACCTTTCTTATTCTATATTTGCATATCTTCAATTATATATTTCTCTACTTCTTATTCTTCTTATTCTTCGTATTTTTTTGTTATATCTAGGTGAAAAGTGTGATATTAAACTGAAAGTATACGTGGATAAAAAAACCGCGTGTAAGCTCAACTCCGGTGAAGATAAGTTGTATGATATTTTAGTGTTACATCTTGAGGGAGGCAAAGATATTTTCATCACTGTAACAGGTATATCGTACGCGAGATAGATGTACGAAATGTTTGTTCCGACAAATAACGTCTCGTCAAACGGGTCGCGAATCGATATTTTTCAGGTACTTACGAAAGAAGTTGCTTTGGATCTTCTATGGAAGCGTTGGTTCACATTTCAGTTCCAATCAGAGAAATTCCTATTGGACGATTAATGGAATTGGTGAATATCTCTTCTAGATATGTAATTCCCATGTAATCTGACTGTATATCACTTGAATTCGTTTTGAAACCGCAGGAGAACAACAAGAATCCGTCGCAGGAACCGTATGCAGTACCCAAGGAAATATGGCACTTGGTGGATAGGCTATATCGACACGGCATTAAAACCCCGGGACTTTTCGAAACGCCCGGTCTTCATAGTGAGGTAATAACCATTCGAGACTGGCTGGACGAGTGGAGTCAGGACCCGATGCGTATCCTTTTCGCACTCTTAAATATTACTTTAGTATCGTAAAAAAAAGAAAAAACAAATATTTAATCTTTCCTTAATGATTCTCTGATCTGATGTCGCATGGACAGCTGGCAGTGTGCACTCGGTAGCGGAGGCATTGCTGCTGCTTTTAGAATCCACAGCTGAACCCCTGATACCGTACAACCTACACAATATTTGCCTGTCTGCGGCACTCAATTATTTGCAGTGCAAACAAGTGAGTGAAATTGAAGAGGAAAGATCGACCTTATTTTATATCTCTATCCTAGAATAAGATAATCGTAGAAATTGAAATTTTTTCCTCCGTACGATCAAACATTGTTTAATCGTTCGTTTGTAGATTGTAATGCAGTTACCCGAGACTAGAAGAACGGTCTTTCTCTACATCTGCTCGTTTTTGCAAGAGTTACTGAATCATACGCAAGATAACGAACTCGACGCTAAGACGCTCGGTAAAGTTGTGTTCATACGCTCGCTGCATTTTGCATCCTTTCGCACTTAATTCACTTAATTAATTTATTAATGCTCGTTGAGCATTACACGACATTTGTCCACGGTCGCACTTTAGTATTTAATGCGCGATAGTATTTAATGTTCTATGTTATGAATTTGCAGCGACGTTGTTTGGGTCGATATTCTTGAGAGACCCGCCACGAAGCAGGGACGATCGTCACCAGAGGAGTCGCGCGGTTCAAATCACATTCGATAAGAAGAAGGCTGCGTTCGTCTATCACTTCCTAGTACACGACCAAAGTGATTTTATACTGGGCCGATAATGCGGACGCGAGCTTGATAGCAAGACACTAGTGACATCACGTAACATTTGTATCTCTTCTTCATTTAGAGCTTTTGCATAGTGAAGAACTGTGAAGACTAAGTTGATTGGCACTTATTATAACACTTCTTGTACGAACGTCAAGAGCTGCTTTTATTGTCCATCACAATCTGAGCATTGTCTTAAAATGCTGTAACTTCGGTAGGCTAATTACAACTATTTTTTTCGAGAAACTATAAGCATACCAGTCTTATCGTGATATAAATTATTTATTATATGAATATGTGACTATATTTCGAGTCATTTAATCCACAAAACCATTTTTTATGTTCATTGCTTTGATGCAAAATGTACACGGAGGGGCAAGAAACTGCAACAATCATTGAGCCTTGAAGCTACATCAATCTCCTCAACAATGAGACTTTTCATGGAGAAATGTAACAGAATGAAATAATCGAATTTACTTATGCACTCATTGACATTTTATTATAAAAAAATACATAGGAAAACGTAAATTCTGAATTCCTCTTTTTACAGATAATATATATATATATGATGGACGACATAACGGATAATAGATAGCTGTTCATTCATTTCTGCAGATGTTATCGAAACATATCGTAATCAATATCCCTTCTTCATATATGAAACAATTTATATATCAATGGATAAAATATGATCAAATAATTGTGTAAACATATCGAATTTAAAGAGAATTCGAGAGAAAGAGAGAGAGAGAGAGAGAGAGAGAGAGAGAGAGAGAGAGAGAGAAATATTTATATAACATGACCTCGTGTATAAAGGGGAATGTAAAACGAATTAAGCTATAATGTTTATTTTTTCGATTAAGCTACAGAAAAGGCTAAGGTTCAATTATCCTTAGTGCAAAATGCTATTATTACTCTAAAAAAAAATATACTAAAGTACCAAAAACTCAGAAATTGAATTTATGAATAACAGTGCGATTTTGCATACATGTTTAAAGATTATGACTGTCATATGTAAAGAGTTTCGAAAGATAATAAAAAATCAAAGAATTAGTAAAAAAAATATCTAATTAATTGGCCAAATGACAGTGGCATTTGCAAAACGATACAATGATAAAAACTTATATTTAACTTTAAGTTTTTGCTGAATGGATTGGTTACTTTCACCCAGTAAATCATAATCTCATCTCTATATATGATTACACAATATGACATCGTTCAAATAATCAAGTCTCGTACGTATTTACAGTCTTTCACTTACGATATATATCTTTCTTTCCTGATGCATGATGTATGCCTCTAAAACTTGAAGTTTGTCGACGTGTCTTCCGATGCTTTAAATTCTAACTGTCCATCATTCGCCGCAGGAGCAAGTTCCTCCTGTTCACCATCCTGAAAAACGATTATTTTCATCTCTTTATTCAAAGAGGAAGTGAAGCTTTCGTTGAGTTTATATGTTGATACATACATATATAAAAATCAGGATATCGCGAACGACGAATATAAATTCTTATGCACGTTCATTTTTTCGGCTTATAATCTATATAATACAATTGCACAAACCCCGGAGAAAAATGTGTCGATCATAGTCATAGACTTTTGGTAAATCCGCTCGTTCTCATGATGTTGAAGAGCTTCCAATTTATCTAACCCTCCGGCTTCTTCTACTATGATGGCGATTTGTTCGACTTGTCCCAATTTCTCGGCAGCATGCAAGATATTATTCAGACCGTCTAGGATAACGATAATGGTATCCCAATCTTTCGTAACCAATAAGTCACAAAGAGGCGGCAATACACCTGCTTGTACGAGATCAGCTAATTGTTGAATGGATCCACCTGACGTCAAGTTGGTTACGGCCCATGCAGCCTCCTTTTGTGCCTTAAAGTCTCCCTGTAAATAATATCGCAAATACAAAATAATATCCTCTCTTCCAATGGCATTTGTTAAGGCATATCCTGCACACAGCTGGTTGGTTCGTGTGTACGTAAAGTGTACACTCACCGATTTAAGTACTTGAACCAACGGTGTCAATATTCCAGCACTTATCACATGCTGAATTTGTTCCGTATTGCCAGCTGTAATATTACTGATCGCCCAAGCGGCCTCTTTCACAATATTCTTACGTGGATGACACAACAAGTTACCAAGATGCGTTAAACCTCCCGCTATGATTATTGAATCGGTCTGAGCATCATCACCGGTTACTATATTTCCGACCGTACGTAAAGCCGGAGTAAGAACAGTCCCTTCTTGAGATGAAAGCAGTTCCACGAGCTTGGATACAATGCCACTATCTAATACAACTTGTATCTTGTCGTTTGATCCATCGGTAAGATAAGAGAGCGCCCAGCAAGCATCGGCTAAACAATGTAAAACATCGATATTAATATTCCGTTCGGATACGGACAGTTGATTGAAAATATATATTACAAGATGTAACATACTAAAAAGAAAAAAGGAACATGCTATAATATCTCACCAAGTATATCTTTATCCGTGCTGGTAAGCAAACGATTCAATGCTGGAAGAGCAGTTTGGACTATCTCAAATGGCGGAGGTGGATTCTTGTTTCGACATAAATTTGACAATGTCCAAACGATATTGCGCATAAATGACACCTGCGTATTATCTTATCGTTAGAAGTATCAGTATATCTATATATCGGTATATGACGTTTACTTGGATAAAAAAGAAAAAAAAAAAGAAAACATGTCGGTACAAAGTGTCGACGATGAATTACACAGTATATTACGTACGGAGGTATCTGGTTTAATTAAATCGAGCAGCAGCGGCATAGCGTCGTGTCCGAGAATAAGATCACGTGTACTGGGCCCATCCCCGGCTATATTTCCTAGAGCCCATACCGCTTGCTCAGCAACACTGGGCGATGGAGACTTCAGCAGCATCACTAAACGTGGCACAGCACCATACTTGATAACGACCTGCGTTTGTTCGGTTGTACCAGAAGCTACATTGGTCAATGCCCATGCTGCTTCAAACTGTAAAGCGACACTAAACAGGAGAATTAAATATGCTACTCTCTTATTCACAAATATATGAACAAAAGACTGCGATTAACATCAATGGTGAAAGTTGCTTACTTGTGGTTACAATCTAAAAGTTCGACACAACGTGGCACTATGCCACAATTTATCATAGTTTCTATCGGAGGATGCTTCTCCCGACTCAGCAATTTCCTGCAAGTTTGTGTTGCTTGCAATTGTACCGTTTCGTCGGGTGAATTCATTCCAGCTACAATATCATCTATGGATGAGAAATTGGGTGAAATAGATTCGCACGATAGATTCAACACTTCCTCTTCTGTGTTGAGATTACGTCGCTTTGACAATTGTTCATCTTTTTTGGCTTTACGTAGCTCTATAGATACTATGTTTCTTCTTCTTCGTGCTTCCTATATAATACATTAATCTTATTGAACATATTTCATACCCAACACTTATACATAGATTGAGTTTCTACATTACACAATATACATAGTAAACATTACAAACACATTAATTAAGAGATGAAGTGGTTCTTATACCAAACACTAATTTATCTTTATCAATTATATACCATATAACCATATATTTATGTTCAACATAGGTTGAACGACAGTCTTATTTATACTCACATCAAGTCTGTTGGTGAATTTAAAATTTGCCATACGTCCATTGCTCGGATCTTCTTCAGAAGGCATGATTGAATCTTTGTTATTAAATATATATATATATAAATCAATATTCTTTAATTGTTCCAACTTATGTAGATTCTAATCTGTCTACAGCTTAAATCTACAAAAATTCAAATTACAATCATTACAATAATATACATATAACAAAGTGCATATATAAATAACATATGAAGAGTTAACTATATCAAGAGACACAATGACGTCTTCCGTCGTATGCATGCTTTTTTTTATCCTTTTTCATAACTGTGTTCACACTATTACCAATACTAAATGCCTGGTAATGTCATCTCTACAAATTTGAAGAATAATCCGTACTTAGGAAGATTAGGAAACGTTAGAGCCATCAAAAATAATTTCAAATTCATCTCTCATAACGGTTAAAGACGCATAAATGGGGGATCTTTGCATGAATGAATAGCGATTTAAATGCAACTGAACCTTTACTTCCTGTACGATCTCCTACAGAAATTACTGATTTAAATTGCAGTATATAGTCGAAACAATTCAGATTAAAACGTATTGTTACTAGATAAACCAGTATAACACGGTGTACAAATTGACCAAACCTGAACGCAACACGTCTCCCTCAAATGCCCTTGCGACTCGATCTTCTTTGTCAAATGATTCAATTGAGACCTGTTGCTATTGCCGTTACGGGTCGGCAGAGAAAACTACGGAGACCTCTTGCGGAAGACAGAAGCAATAAGAAGGGATTTCTTGTTTTACAAGACAAAAATACGTAGAGAGAGAAAGCCATTTTTTTACACGTGATATTCAGAATACAAGAGAATTTATTATACTTAAAATGTACTAAAGAGTGATTTTCTGGCAGAAACGTTGTAATAAAAATTGGGCGAATTTTTTCGAACAAACGCTTGACATGAAGTTAGTCACAAAATGAAGTAAAGATGTCTCTATCGGTTCATATTTTTACATGTTATAAACCTGTAGAATTTTTAGCATATATATTGCAAAATTCGACTATTTAACACGTTTCTTACTTATACGAGAGATAAACTGAAAAAGCTAATTTGCCAAATATAATTTCTCTAAAACGAAAAATGGAAAGAAATTACAGACACTGTAGTACTTACAGCTGCGTCTAAGCGTTCAATGAGCTGTTGAATCCAATTGGTTTGTACTTTTAGATTTTGATCAAATTTAGGAGTATATATATCAAATCCAAGAACTTATCGAGTGCCTAATAAGCGATTGTAATTTGTAATACTGGTTGCGTTCAGAAAACATAACGGTTGAGTGATCGATTTTTGAGAGATGGATGTTATTGGTAGATCTAAAAATATACACCAATCATAGATACCGAGCAGTTGAACAATAGTTGTATCTTCTGAACGCAGCTATAGACTTGTGGCTAACTTCATGTCAAACATTCACAAAAGTTTGATTTTAATAATTTTTCCAAAAACTCTAAAACACCGTGGACGATCTTGTTGATTACGAATATCATAAACAGAAGGTAACTTTTTCCATTATCTTTATAAAAATTAAAAGATTTTTAGTTCCGGATTAGATGTCTCCACATAGTCTTTACAGATCCTGAACACTATAACCTCTGATTGTGCTCCAAGTTGTATTTTTTTATTTATTGTTAATATTATCAACATTCGTATATAAGAAGTAAGAATACAGAACATTGTGTTATGTTGGTGTTAATGGCTGTAGTAATAGGTTACAGATGAATTTTATGTCATTATGTTTAGACGATGTAAATTGTACATGTGTTTACTTATTTTTTCCATGTGATGCCTATATTCTAATTTTATTATTTCATATGATATCCAAATACAATTGTGTGAATTATATGCATTAACTATAAATATTTCAGAAAAGAAAAGTATATACTTGACATAAATACATTGAAATGACAAGTCAAAAGCAGATTTCTTGTGGATTGGATTTCTGTTGTGCTGCAAATTTAAATGATTGTCTATTCACCGCAAGTTCCTCAAAGTAAGTCTTTAACGTTATATATTTTGTGTTAAACCATCAAACCAACATTCAACCTTCGCAATTTATTTCACAAAGTATGTGGCACAACTAGATTTTTTTCTTACTCTTTCAGATATGATTTTATCTGCGTTCCCTTGGTACATCCTTTGTTTAAGAGGGAATTTATTTCGGGTCCTGCCAAGAATCGTCCAGGACCTTTTACTAGACCTGATTTAATTTTAAATAGTTCAGGTAAGTGTTATGATAAACATTTTTAATAAACCATATTTTCTTTTAATATACGCACAATATATATTTTCCCAGATTGGAATAATTTAATAATTGGTAAATTCTCATCGTATATTAATGTGGACTCTACCAATCCAATTGTTAGAAAAAATAGTGAAGAAGCCTTGAATCAAGAATTATCCCTAGCTATGCATTTTGGCCTGTCAGGTGTAACATTTAAATTGATGAGTGGTATAAATAAAAATATGAATTTCGCAAGAATTATTTGCGACAAATTGACAAGTAATTGCATTTTCCAGGTAAATTTTTTTACCTCTAAATTACAAATAAAGTCTAATTGAAATTATTAAGATATTCTGTCGACTGTTATAGATTTGGATACAAGTACCTATGGAAAATCCAATTAGGCAAGCCTATTCTTATAGAAAAGAGGACTGTCCAGTGGTAGAAAATCCATGGGAATGGTGGAATGCATTTAGGATAATATGTGACTACAATAGAAAATTAGGAGTTGCATTAATTGTTAGTCATGATGTGCCTGAATCAGAGGAGGTACTTTGATAAATAGAACTTACGAATTAAAAAGAAAATATATATATATATATATATATAAATGCCGTCTATTAATAAATTTTTCTTTGAATTTAAAGATTGATAGGTGGCTCGGAGAACCAGTAAAGTGTTTGATTTTACCAACAACGATATTTTTAACTAATAAGAAAGGATATCCGGTGTTAAGTAAAGCACATCAAACATTAGTAAAAAAATTTGCCACATTAGAAGTACAATTTATATTAAAGGGTGCATCGCGTTACAAAAGTATTAGCTATTATCACAACTATCTTGACTATTTGTGGAAGGTAAGGCTGCAGGAGAGATTACACAAAGCTATCTGGAAGATAAAATATACTTTGTTACAACTTAGTGATAGATGTAGGAAATGATGTTTTCATTTCTTTAGGGATGCCAAACTAATGGAGCAGTGGAAAGATTTGCTCGTGGGTATGAAGATTACTTGCAGTGTCCATTGCAACCTCTAATGGATAATCTTGAGTCGCAAACTTACGAGATATTCGAAAAAGATCCTGTGAAATATCGAGAATATCAGAACGCTATATACGAAGCCATTCAAGAGATTATGCCCAAAGCTAAGGTGGAAGAGAGAAAAGTGTAAGTTAAATCAATATCACAACATCATAGCATAAAAAAAGTAATGTCAAATATTTAGGGTAATCATGGTGCTTGGTGCTGGGAGAGGACCACTTGTAACTGCATCTCTGAATGCTGGAAATATGGCCTGTCAAGAGGTGAAGATATACGCCGTGGAGAAGAATCCTAATGCTATATTAACGTAAGAACTTTTCAAGATACACAAAGACTTCGTGCGATAAAATGAATTAACTTACATTGTGTTTTATTGTCTATATCTACAGTTTGCAGGCTCTCGAGAGAGACTTGTGGCAAGACAAAGTCACAGTGGTATCATGTGATATGAGAGAATGGGATGCTCCTGAAAAGGCCGATATTATTGTTTCCGAGCTACTCGGATCTTTTGGCGATAACGAGTTGTCACCCGAATGCTTGGACAATGTTCGAAAGTTTTTACAAGGTTTGCATTGCACACTGCATCGCTTAAATTTCATTTATAACAGGTGATTTAAAAATTCCCCCCTTTTTCATTCATATATTAGATGACGGGATTAGTATACCGCAATCATACACTTCGTACATCGCTCCTATACAGTCCTCTAAGTTGTATAACGAAGTAAGGCAGCTCCGAGACAAGGATAAACATCCATTGTCCAGTTTCGAGACTCCTTATGTGGTGCATTTTCAAAATAAGTACGATATAGCCAGCCCACAACCACTTTTTACATTTGTACACCCAAACAGAGGTCTGTATATATAAATTTCAACATAGCAAGTGATCGTTTATATTTCTAAATGTTTTAATTTCGTTTGTATTTCTAATTATTTCAGCTAGTGTTATTGATAACTCGAGATATGAAACAAGAGCTTTTCACGTGGAACAAGATTGCGTGTTACATGGATTTTCAGGATACTTTATGACAGTTCTATACAAAAATATTACATTGAGTATAGAACCTAGTACATATAGTCCGGAGATGTTTAGTTGGTTCCCAATCTTCTTCCCACTCAAGGTATGCTAAAATGTAACATCGTGTCTACCTTGTAAGAGGCGACGATAACAGCAAACTATCATTTAATCATGCAGGAGCCGGTGCATTTGAAGGCAAGTGATGAATTAGTGGTTCACTTCTGGCGCAGATGTAGCTCCAAGAAAGTATGGTACGAATGGTGCATCAGTAAGCCCATTCCAATCTCGATTCATAATCCAGGTGGACGTTCTTACACTATTGGATTGTAGTGTTATGATTTTATCAATATATACTGTTTGTTTATTCAAGAAAGTCAATAATATGTGATGGATGAACAGCTTATGTTGGGATTATAGTCGAACTTTTGCAGACGTGGTTTGCAACAAATATCTAGATAACGTTACATCATCCGAAATAATATTTTTGTATTTTCATTTGTAATTTGTAAAGTTGCCTAGTGCCATTAATGTATTAGCTGCAGGGAAAATGACGTATCTCATTCTTAAGGAAATATGGAAGATTGATATATATATATATATATATATATATATTTGACGTAAACTTAATGCAACTTGAATTTAGTTTTATCAATAGATGTACTTACAAAGACAGATAGTTGTTTCTAACATATACTCATCTGTATAAATAATAATCATTGACATTATTAGAAAAAAAGAAAAGAAAACAGGAAGATGAAAGGTAATTGATGCTTAGAAAGATAAGATAGATATTTATCTTCTAGTGAAGCTTTTTTATACACCTACAACGCCGACACATAAGACGATAGATTATATTAATAAGTATTATGATAACGTATACACACACAGTATCACATAATACGCCATATGTATGACGATGATCTCTGAGGTCACTGGATATCAAATTTTGATAACATGTTTACGATATATCCATATATGTAAAATGTGCGTTACTATATCTTCTTAAACTCATGCGATTAAATATATCGTTTGAATAACATTACATAAATTTGATATACTGTAACATTACACCAAATACTGCCCATGTAATGGAGTTCTTACAAGTATATGTACATGAAGTACATGTAAAAGTACATTTAAGTACATTTAAAATTATCATAATGAATTTTTACTTTATTCAATCTAACGTATCTGTAGTTCTCATCTTTTGTGTAAATACTTTTCTATTCCTTTAATATGCTATCCTATCGCAGCAACAGTGTGTATGTATATGTGTAAGCAATTATAAAATAAAACATTCCCACACTTGGTGTGATAATTCTATCAAGTATTACACAGTTGGGTATCATTGGTTCTCGAAACAAAATCGTTAATTGTTTATACCATATATATTGGATGATCATAAATAAAACCGATTATTTAACCGATTAACTCAATGACTCAAAAACAACTGACAGACAAGAACATAAATATAGATGAGCGAATCAATTGTTTTCGAGGTGTTTTACTTTGTCAACAATGTTGTTCATACGTTCTTTAGACGTCGTTTTTGACAATTAGACACGACGAATAATTTTCAAACAATCGCTGATGTTAATGGTATCGGTCGATGGTCGAGATGTAAAACTAGCTCGATTATTTTTGAAACGAGATAAGAGAGTGACCGATGACGACAGTAGCGGTCGGGCCGGGTCGTCAAAGTTTCCTCTTGTCACTCGACGGTATTCAGATCACGCTTACTGTTGAAAGGAGGGTTAGGGTCATCGACAATTTTCCGCACGGTCACGGCACGAAGAGATGAGGATGGCAAGATTGGTCATACGAATTAGCAGGTGCGCGGCAAAGACACTTGTCTCGCATGGTAGAACCGATTTAATCGGCACGATTCCAGCGAGAACACCGCTTCTCACCGCAATACGCTCCATAACCACAACTCGATATTTGAGAACTGGTAAGTGGAATATTAGTGAACCAAATGTTGATTCGAATTTGCAGCCTGAAAACGGACGGATTTACGATATGAGAACATAAATCCGCCGTACAATGATAAATTAATTTTGCCATACAGTATGTTTTAAATCGCATAAATTCATTATTCTATTATTGCATTCCCGTCACTGTCTGCTGCGTAAAAAAAAAGAAAAAAAAAACGTACAAAAATAAGGGCATCGAGAGATGGATGCTCTTAGCGACATTTTTTAAATTTTATGCTAAAATATGTCCGAACGAAATGGATAAAGTGTGGGGCACAGTCGGATAAAGTATGTGATGAGATATCTCGTAAAGTATTTATATTCTTCGATAATTTAGTTTTGTGTGTAATATATGCGATAAAAGTAATTGTAACAAAGGTGTTATGCATACGATAAAAGGGATCTGTATGAAAAGAATGTGATTTCATTTACAAAATTTCATTTCGTAAATGTATTCGCGCTTGGAACAAATAGAAATTGATTCGGATTTAGACAAGACGGAATTGACGGTGCTTGAGAACGGACGAGATTATTATTGAATCGCAGATGCGAGATAAACGTGATAAGATGTGATTTTTCAGAGCGATGGTACACTGATAAGCACGAATGGGTAACAGTGGATGGCAAAGTAGGCACGGTCGGTATATCGGATTACGCGCAAGAGGCACTCGGAGACGTGGTTTACGTGCAACTTCCCGACGTAGGATCCACGATTAAGAAAGGAGGTAATTGATACGATGTTTTTAACTAACGCCCAGACTTCGAGAGAGAGAGAGAGAGAGAGAGAAATAAAAGCTATATGATATATCAGAACATGTTCGAGCTATTCTGTGTGTGTATGTGTGTGAGTGTGTGTAACAATATAATTAAATAATATACACAATGTATTTCTGTTTCTTTCTTTTTCCGAAGTATCCTGTGAGTAAATTTCGATAACTTGAATATTGTACTCTTTAAGTTTGTTATTAATTGCCTTTTAACAAAAGTCAATGCAAAGACTGTTAAATCTCGACAGTGATCTTTAATTTCTGAATTATAAACACTTTTGCGTGATGAAACTTTGTTAAATTCGACGGAGTAGATAACTGTAGCTGTAAAGCTGCATTAAAGTAAATTAAATTAAAATTAAAACTAAAACACTTCTTCCGAATGACGTGACGTTAAATCGATAGTTTCTTCGAAAGAATTCGAAAGAATAAAATATAATTTGTACATACATTTTTGGCTTACTCTTACACACTTATTCAATCACTCCTCTTCTTGGTTTCATCATGAATTGCATACCTCATTCCATGTATTCCATATTCTTGTATATTTTACTCACTATTGAATTGAATTGATTTTTTTTTAGAGGAATGCGGGGCGCTGGAATCGGTGAAGGCGGCTTCGGAATTGATAAGCCCGGTCAGTGGAAAAGTTATAGAGAAGAATGAATCGGTTGAAAGTAAACCCTCCTTAATTAATACATCTTGTTACAAGGACGGTTGGTTGTTTAAGGTAGAATTAAGCGAAAAAGACGAAGTCAAGAGTCTAATGAACGAAGAGAGTTACAATACGTTCCTAAAAGAAACAGACGCACATTAAACTCCAATCTCACTCATCTACTGATGTATGTTTGAACTGAATTAACAATTACACATCAGGGATTGCACTTTAGAAATAATACTCGTGATTACAGCCATGTCTTCAATGTTAGAAAATGATGACGATTGTGCGGTAGAGTAGTTAATTTTTAAACATAATGAGAAAAGACTCTCAAAGGCAGTTTGTTGCAGTGGTTTCTTGTATTGACATAATTTAATCAGGACTATAGATAAAATAAATAACTGCTCAAGCAATTCTCGACCCAGATCATGGACCCAGAGGAGAGTATACCCCTAAACGAATATACTTTCTATGTTTACAACTTGTACACCAACACATCACAGTTTATACAAAGTCCACGCTACATGTGCCATTATACATTCATTATAAATGTATCCATGTTGCATGAAGAGGATATAATGTTACGAGATTAACATTAATGTCTTATATCTTGATCGTCGCGAGTAGATTATACAGCTGAATTTACACATTGAACATTTAGCCCAATAGAAATTGAATAACATATATATTGTGTATATATATATATATATATATTTATTTATATACACACACACACACACACACACACACACACACACATATTAATTGTTAAGTAATAAAAAGTTAATACACGAAGCGTTAACATTTTATATTCTTCAGAGTGCAACATATGTGGCCTTATACTGTGTTAGTGTTCATGTATAGTGTTATATATATTGCTAATGAGTCATTTAAATTAATATATGATTTACACTGAGGTATCACATGTATGATATACGTTATAATGTAATTTACATTGTAACGTAAAAGTCTTACTTAATGCATGAAGATGTTTCTCGTATGAAAAAAAATGATTGATAGATGATTGCGATATCTTTATTAGTCACTGTGCAATGTTCGTCGTTTCGTATTTATACAAAGCAAAAACAAATATACAAGTTGTTTGATACACGAATAACAGCATTCGGGTTACGATTTATGACAATTTCCTTGTTCCGTGTGCACGAAGGCATTGAAATTTTGTAATAGTTGTATAACGTTCTATAACGAGTGGCTGAATTAATCATAAAATACTATCTTTAAATCTCGCAACATGGCATACTTAGTGGATCCTATGTCCTACAGTTTTTCAACTTTTCCTTTGAAAATTTTATCTCTCACAATCAGTTTCTCACAATCTGGTAACGATCTTTAATATCGAATTCGAATAAGGGAAACACTATCGTATCGTGTGAGGTTCAACCAGTACAATATATAATATAAAAAAATAGCATTAACCCTAGAAAGGAACAGTTATCTGTTAATATAATAAAGATATATTTACAGTCAATTAATTTTTTTTTCTACATAATTTACAATTGCCAACTGCTAATGGCAGTGTTAACAACGCATAATAATAGTTTATATCTTTTTCCCTTTAAAACTTTATTCCAACGATTTATCGGATCGAAGAATCACACCGATATTAAATAAGATCATTGCCAATCATAATTGGTAACTGTACATATTTAACACAATGTACACAACGCTGCGATATCGTCGTATTCACTAGTTACATTTGTTAACACGTCGTAACAGGTCGAATCAGTTAATTATGGTGGAAGTATATTTAACAACGATAGTCGATTTAGAGCTACTTTTAGAAGAGAATTTCTTTTTCTCACATTGTTTATATAGATACTGATGCTAATGATACTTGTTCCAAAATCATCAGACCGACACGTTTAACGGAGGGTCTCAAAGAGAAGGATAACGTAATAAAAACATATAGCGTTAAATGTCAAACTTGTCTCACTGAAACAGCGGAATAAAAGCAATTTGAAATAACTTTTGAAAAGGCATTGATCCTCATATCTGTCCTCATTTCTTTAGATTCTTTGAATCATTGGATTTTCCCTTGACATTTTACAATCGGTCTTTCTCAACTTTGACAGCAGTAGCTACACGCTTTCATAATTAATACGTGGTAAATGACACAATTATGAACTAATGTGCCGAAAATACACAATAATAATAATAATAATAATAATAATAATAATAATAATAACTAAGACCTAAAAAATAACGTGGACATACAATGAATACGATATTTCAATAAGTTGTATTACATAGCTCGCGCGTAGCTTCTTATGTGTGTAATTATACATACTACACGGATTAAAAGTAGCTGTTTTTATGCATGTTACATCCATTCACTCCATTCAAATTGCTATCTGGGCGTCTATTCTGAGGTATGTGGTTACTAAAAATGTAAAAGTATAAAAACTTAATACAGAGATATGAAGAGGTAGTCATTCGTGTCTGAGTTAAATAAAAATAATCTTTTCCAAAGAGGGGAGAGGAGGGGGGGGAGGAGGAAGGGAGCGTCGTAAATGTGTAAGAATGATAAGCCTAGAGACTGTCTCCGATCGTGTTCAACATGAAGAACCGGACGATTTGAAAATTTTGGGAACATTAGCATATTCTACATCGGCGTATGTAAGTCGAACCTGACGTCAGACAGAAATCTTTACCCACGCGATAAGTACATACGATATACCCCCGATCGAATAATTTCTGCGGTGTGATAATGATAACTTGTGACAATAGAAATCATAACAGTATTATTATTCATCGCAATAATTATTACTCGTGATAACAACAACAATAATAATAATAATAATAATAATAATAATAGCAATAATAATACTCGCCACCACTCCTCTTGATTTGATTTAACACTCGATCCTTAATCTAACGTGACGTCAAAAATCTCTCGCGCTCGTCTCAATGCAAGTCACATTTACACCTAGTTAAATATATTGCGAAAATCGGTGGAAAAAGTGAAAGTAGTAAAATAGCATATTTCATTTCTTTTTGCAGCAGGTACGTGTTTGATACGTGAATAAAAACAAGAGGAGTCGCGACGGGTAACATTACCAATTTATCAGTGCGAGCAAAGATTCCTATCGTCCCATCGTCAAAGTTTAAGCTTTTGCGTCTGACACATGTATGTTGTAATTTCCGATGGCTTTGATACCACAGGCGTCGAAAAGACAACCTTCACAGCACTGAAGAATTTCTGACTATATTAGCTAAACGATATTATATTAAAAATAATATAATAATCTGTTTTAGTGAAAAATTACTACTTTCGGTCGCTATCTTAACATTCACTAAATATTTCTCTATTTAACAACAGCGCGCGAGATATAAGATTAAATTGTTATCTTATATATTTAGAATTATAATCGCTAGACAATATATAGGACCACATAAACCTTGCTCCAATGATTCTTTTATTTCTTAAACAGAAACTTTATTATGATACAACATACAATAGTAAAATATCGTAATTTGTGGTTATTCCTTTCCGCCACCTATTTGAAAAATAATAAAGAGAAATACATGATTAAGACCCTAAAATTAGTGAAGACATTAAGTAGCTAATGATTCCTCTCGAGTGTAAGCAATAGAAATATATTTATTTCGTTAAACTATACACAAAATATCGTAATTACATATTTAACATGATTCATACTTTACAACGTAATTGGAATGTGTTAACTAGTATTTACAATATAGTAGCCCTGCTTGTGTGCAAGTGTGTCAAAATGCAGATTTCATTTTTATAGGAAATTCTAAGGATGCCCAGGTGGGGGGCCGTGCAACAAACACATATGTATATCACATGCAAGTTTACTGTTCGTTCATTCAAGTATGCCCATTGAATCCCTTGCAGAAGCACGATTAAAGATCTGGAAAGTTCGGATTCTCTTTAGCAGTAGGAGTACAATATTTCGTTCGAATGAGTGAGAGCAAGGCTTCAGTGGTATGCTTAAAAATAATCGCCTCTAAGTATTAGAAAAATAGCTTTACTTATTTAGACAAAAATTGCCTGCCCTTTGACCAATATTTTGTTTTAACCACCCTTTGTACTGTTTTCAAGGCATCTTGCTTACTGTTTCCCTGCGCTTGTACCCACCAACAGGGGTGTTTCTCCACGGAGATACATCTCTAAAACTTCAACATCAAATATAGAAAATATATGTCACTGTGTTTATATATTTAGATACACTTTATATAATACATATATATGTAATATATGTAAAGTATATATACGTCTATATACTTTATTTGTATGCATAGGTATTTCTTGAACCAATGCCCCTTTACTTGGTCCGATACCTTAGCAGCGTTAGCTCTTAATAGGTACTTTGAGGTCCACTCTGTCTCCCGATTAGGGGCGCTAACAAGACTTTCGATATATTATATATGTATGTATGTATGTATGTATGTACTCGTTATGTATGCATGTATGTATTATATGTATGTGGGCATGTATCTATCTCTGTGTTGTATGTTACGTGTGCATGTTACGTGTATGTGTAGTTCGTACTATTCGATGGCAAAAGTTACCAGGAGAAACCGATTGTTGTTTCATTTCCTCTTGGCGTGAAGCATCTCCATGAGAAGTGTTTGCGTAGGTGCACCTCCGTTACAATGCTTGTGATAGAGATGGTCTTCTCCCCTACTTGCCACCACGTGAATTTCTGGTAATACTGCTAGCAGCTTGTTGAATTTATCCTACAACGGACAGATAAGAATGATTACACGTTATATCGTGTCCTCTGGTGTCTACTTTGAGCGAGGAATATACACAAAGTTGGATTTTGTAATACCGGTAGAGCTGGGTAACAATTCATCGAGTAATCCATAAGCGCCCGTTGAACCTGCTCATGCCCTTCTTGCACATGCTTCTTGTTTACTAGCCCACGAACCTCTGTGTCAAAATAAATATATACATTTACGTAGCACGACCGACACATACATAACCGAGACATGCGGCGGTATTGTGTAAATGCTGCACGTTTCGAGTTGACGCCAGATGTTTAGTTTATATCAAAGTAGGGCAGAGTGTCACAGAGAGTGTCAATTTGACGAAGAGTCACATCATCATCGATACGATCGGATCTCAAATCGCGTCGACGCAATCGTCTCTCTGAGATAATCACCGGATTCTCTTATGAACTTGTGGTTATGGTATATGTAAATGCAATACCTTTTCAGATCTTCTCGACACATAAATTTGCAAAGTTTATTACCATCTTTTGCAATTAAGCAACGCGAGATTTGTCGCGATTTCCACACACACACACACAGCTTCGACGTTTAATGTTACATCGTAGGAAAGTACGTTTCGGTCTGTGACGTGGATTTCGCGGCGTGTTTAGGAGAAATAATATATACAAATGTGCTACGGGTAAAGCTGTGTGAATCTGAACTTTACTTACCGTGATTCAGCAGCATTAGGAATTTCATGCAAACGTAATCGGAGAGGTCGAATTTTAGATCCTGAAGTTTCTTAGACAGATCGTTGAAGAGATCCGCCAAGCTAGGAACTCCAAGTAGGCCGAGGCAAAGGAGATCAAACTTTTGGCCATTGTGAAGTGTCGTCTCGTCAGGTAGGTTATTGTGTAACCTGTGATGAAGGTGGTCCAGTACTAACATATCCGACCAAGAGTGTTGCAGTAGCTTCATTTGATCGTCAACCTGATAAATTATTTGCGTGAATGTTAAGTATTATTCCAAAGGTATTTAAAACGAGGGAAAAAAAGAAGAAGAAACGAGAAATATCTATACAAAAAAAGATCTCTTTGTCAGTTATTAATCGCACGTTCGTGCAATTAGAGACATCAGATTGGACTGATATAAAAAAATAATTAAAAATTTTCATTTCGTTAACTCTCGACAGTATCTTCTTCCGCTCTCGTAATGAAAAATGCACAATGCCAACACACACACACACAACGCGCGTTCGCACGTATATAATCAATAATCTACAATTTTACAAAACATTTAAAAAGATGAGGAACGAAGCGCGTGTGTGTGTGCACGAGTAACGCGATATATGATAAGAGCGAAGCGGTGAAAATCCCGCGGCAATGTACCATATTGTCGATGAAAGGCTCAAACAAGCGACCTCGTTTCGCCCGGTATTGTCGTTGACAAACTCGCCGTGTTGAAGCAAAAATAAAAAGTTGTTACAAAACGATCGGTTAAGTATGCAATTTATAATTAACGCGGTCCTGCTTTGGGGCAACCGCCATAACCCAGAAACGTATCTTGTTATGACCTAGATATGAGGCGATGCTTGAAATCATTCAGTGATTGTGCAATGCCGCTGGTTACCTCACATCCCCGCTCATACCACGAGCAGGCCAGGCAACGAGTTATTTATCGGTAAGAACAAACTCCTCGACGAGGAGATTCTCAGCACAATCACTGTAATTACGATTACTCGTAACACGCGCGTAATCGCGTAAACCATCGCGTTGCGCCCGACGTAAATTCGCCCCAAACACGGGGGATGTGAATATAACCCGAATATCCTTTCATGTAAATTGATCAATTTCCAGAGAGAGAGAGAGAGAGAGAGAAGACAAACGAATGAAGAAAAGAGAAGCAGGGGGGAAAAGGTACAATCTCTAAATAACTCGATATAACTCGATATAACTCGCTAAAGAGAGAAAGAGAGAGAGAGAGAGAGAGAGAGAGAGAAAGAGAGAGAGAGAGAACCCTCTGCTTCGACGCACTCTAGACTAGAAATTGTGTGAAAAAGTGGCCGCGCGCGAGCGGACAGCAGAAGAGACTGCTCTCTCACCTTGAGATCCTTGAAGAATATCGAATTCCTAGCCCAGTCCACCTGCGCGAACAGATTCTGGTCGAGCACTTTGCACATTAATTCGAACAAGTCCACTTCACACTGATTGTACGTTTGATTTTGCAGTAGTGCGAAGAGGGACGCCTGCCACTCGCGGTCGTCGAGCGCCTGCACGAAGTCTCTTATCATCGGACTAGTTTTCATAGCGACGTTACTGCCGACGTTCCCAGAGCTCGCGGCACCGCCGTGGGACTGCGTGGACTGCTCGCCGAAGCTGAAGGCCTTTGTACCAGGGGTGGTGGAGTTCGCGGCCCACAACTTGTTGTCCAGGCCGGGGTTGAGGTTGTGCAGATGATTGCCGCCGCTGCCGCCGCTACCGCTGCCGCCGCCTCCGCCGCCACCGCCTCCGCCTCCGCCTCCGCCGCCGCCACCGCTGCCACCGGCGATGTTCGGTTGGGTGGACGGTGCGATTAGCTGGTGCTGACCGGCACCGTTACCGGCCTGCGTCGTCACCAATCCCGCGGCCACGGCCGCGGGTGACGGACTCGAGTCCGGCGAGGAGGTCAGACTCGAGACCTGAGGTATTTGGATCTCCTGCTTGATGTGCAGCAACGGCGTCACCGCGGACGAGTAGTTGCTCGGGTCGCCGAGGCTGCCGCGTATCGTCTGCAACGCCATTTGCCGTTGCCGCATCAGCTGCAACTTCCGCGCACGATCCCGCTTGTACATGGGCCCGAATTTGTTTCTACCGCCTCGCATCCGATCCGCCCGTACAGCTGTAACAATCGAGAAAAAGACCGTTAACTCCCGACGACCGTTTGCGCGCGATCTCTCTTCCGTCCTCCGGATTTCTATTTCAGCAAGAAACAGGCAAAAGCGCGACGCGCGCGCCTTTGCCCCACACATCTCTCGCTTTTTTCAAACGAAAATCAAGCCCGGGTGAACGTTTCTTCCCAATTTTCATTTTTGTATATGTCGTTGTACCTCACTGGGGCGTCGCCCAACACGTCGACCATCCCCCTCCCCTCCCCCCAAGGGTAAAACGAATATTCAACTTTCAAGTGTTCGAGACTGAAAGAATCTCCGAACATCAGCGGGAAGCTCTCGATGTAACAAAAAGTAAAGAAGAAGAAGGAGAAGAGGAACGATTCCGCGTATCGACCACACGGCCGATACGCGACGCGCGGAGGTAAGCAAGGATCACGGGGTCCTCTTCTCGGAGGGAAGGAACGAAACGCAATGAAACGCGGGCTCGCTCGTTGATGAAAACGCCGTCGAGCGCTCGGCGCGGCGCTCGAGAATCGAGAGAGAAACCTCGCGCGGGCGTGATCGCGCACGATCGAACGAAGCAACCTTGGGGAAGCGGTCTTCAGAGTCCGGCGTTGACGAAAGCGGAAGTCACGGCTAATCGCCAGATAAGTAGGACAAAAGCGTGAGAGTGCGCACTGCCGCTGTTCCAGCTATATGCGCGCTCTCAGCAATGAGCGCGCGCGTACGTGTATAAAGTATTATGTACGTGCACGCGCCACGCAAATCACGCCACTCACAGGAGTTGAGCATTCTCGCGTTTTCCGCACCGGCGGCGGCGGCGGCGGCGGCGGCTTCCTCGAAGCGATTCGCTAATTACGGAGCCGTAGAGCCGCGAGATCGACAGATGCTCGTCAAGTTGTCGCGCGCGGCGCTGGATTTACGCCTGTGAGCACCTTGAGAAACGCAACGCCGCGACAGCTGCTCGCGGCCGACATGGATTCTTAGGCCGCGCGCGGGCCTAAGGCCTTATCACAGGAGTGTGAATATCGCTGAAATATCGGGACTGATTTCTCTTCAACGGGTCTACACATATCTGCGAGTTTCGAAGACCAAGTAGAAGACCAAGTTCGACGGTCAAAGACGGGCAAAAGCAAAGTCCATTCATCAGTCCCAAGCCATTCGACAAGAGGACTGAGAGGCAGAGAGACGTTCGCTCGGAGATTTAATCGCCGAGAGAATCGCGCTTATAAAATCGATGCCGAAAGGTCTTGCAACTGCGAGAGCTAACGCGATGCCTGAAATTGTCTTGCTGTCTCTGTGAGAAACGGGCATTTCGCGTCCTTTTCGAGAGTTCTCCAGCAGAGCAAGACCGAGATCGTCGAGAATGCCTATCGAATCGAGTCGCAAGCTGTGCGTGTGCTGCTTGCAAGTGCACAGGTGCTGGGAAGGTGAGGGGAGAAAGATTGCGACACCTTTCGATCCGGTTATTCAAAATTTGACGAACTTCACGACTGGTGAAACTGCTCTCGGATCGTGCCGAGTCCGGCCGATTTTCGTCTGTTTCACGGCACATCGATGAGAAGAAATGTCGCAATCTTTTCCCCGCCGATTATAGAGCGGCTCGACGGTCGACCAGTCGACCAGCCAGCCAGCCAGCCAGCCAGCCAGCCAGCCAGCCAAGCAGCCAAGCAGCCGGCCGTAATCGCCAACAATGTTCGTTCGCAGAGAATGACACGGAGGATCAGGGCGTCGTAATGGTCACTCGCGTAATCCGTAATCGTCGATTACCGAGGAGAGCAGGGAGCCCTCCCTCGCGCGGGCTCGTAAGCGCGTTCTACCCTCTTTCCACTCGCCGTTGCACTTCCTGCAAGTGCGGCTTGAACGCTCGAAGAAACCACGACTGTGTGCGCACTTGCGAGTGCACGCGGTGATCAGTTTCCGAGCCTCCGTCAGGGATCGTCCTGAAATCGTACAGCATCGATAGATAAGTGGCGGCGAGAGACGCTGCTAAGCAGCGAAAGCGGAAACAAAATGATGCGGGCAAAGCGCGGTTATTTGGACGAACGAGAAGCCCCCTTTCGACACCTCCTCCTCTCACGTCGTAGGCGCGGGATCGCGCCGCGGCTGGCGCGGCGCACCGACGTCGCATCTCGCGCGCAAAATAACTCCGGGCTCTCGAAATGCGATCGCGTTTTAAGCTCGCTTCTAGAATAGGTGCCATCAAACGTCTATTAGCATGAGAACACCGGCCGCGTCGAGAGCGACGAAGCTGCGCGCTCTCGGCCCGCGTGTGTCCCACAATGTCGGGACTGTCGACAGAGAGCCCCTCGTCGGTCTTAACTCGCACGCGCGCGCGCGCGCGCGCGAGAGAGAGAGAGAGAGAGATAGAGAGACGCTAGAGACCTAAAAAGCGAAAACGCCCGCTAACCTTCGCGAAAGCGCGGGACGCGTCTATGATAATCCCCCGCCCCGGTGTCTGCTCGCGGCGCGCGACCTCGATATTAAATCCCGGCTCCGCTAGGTCGGAGTCCTCCATAGGCAGATTGCCCCTGACGACATCGCGCAAATCTAATAAGCCACCGCCGCCGCGAGCGGTCGTCTCGCTACCTAAAAAGCTCCCGCCGTCGACAATCTCTCGAGCTCGCTCTGCTGGCGCGCGTCCAAGAGGACACACACAGCTGGCTCTCGCTCGGCCGCTATGCGCGCGCTATCGAAACGCGCTGGCGGCAGGCAAAAAGGCGACGGCGTCGCGACGCCCACCCTCCTCCTCATACAGAGAGCGAGCGAGCAAGCGAACGCGAACGCGAACGAATGAACGAACGAGTGAGCGAGCGAATGAACGAGCGACCCAAGCGAGAAGGTCGCTTGCGAACGCTCGTAGCCTCTGAACTCTCGCGGCGAAGCAGCGGGCGCGCGCGCGCGTTCGGCGAAAACGGCGGCGTTGCCTATTTTCGTATACGCGGTGTGCTCGCCGTCGTATAAAACGGCGGAACGTGCGAGCGAGCGCGAGCGCGCTCGTTGAAAGTGAAAGGAGGTTGAATCGCTCTTACCCGTCCACTTCTGCCTGCCTGCCTGCCTGCCTGCCAGTTTGCCGGCCGGCCTGCCTGGCCTGCCTGCCTGCCTGCCTGCCTATTTGCCTGCCTACCTGCCTGCGTCGCCCCACGTCGACATCTCTCTTCTCCTCTTTCCCTCCCTCCATTTCTACTGCCCCCGACCTCACAACCGCGCGTAAACCTCAATCCGCTCCATATTGCCGCCTCCGCGCCACCCTGTATATATGCGTCTCTCTCTCTCTCTCTCTCTTTCTCTCCCCCCTCTCTCTCTTTCCCTCTGTCGAGCTGCCGCGAGAGTCGACTCCGCTGCTACATCGATACCGCGGCGGAATCGAATACGCGCGACGCCATACGATCATCTTGTTGCGGGTTCACGCGAATTCGTTTCGGCCCCGGCGCGGCGCGGTGTAGCGCCGAAGTGCGCGCCGCTCGTGTGTATGTACACGTTCCTTTTTCAGCCCACGATGGTGATGGCGATTTCGTGACGCGGACTCGGGCCCGTTCGTGACGCGACACGGATCTCTACGTATGGATCTCTGTGCCTTCGACCCCGCGAGCTGTAGTCTCCTTCCCCTCCGCCTCCGGCCCTCCCCCTCCCCCTCCGTCGTTGCCTGCGTTGAAGAAGAAAAATTGCAGAAGCCCGGCACACACAACACGCCACTTTGATCCTTCCGCGTACAATTATCCGGGCCGCTCATCCGATCCTCCTTAGATATCCGTATTGCTCGTGTGAGGACCCTTTGGACTTTAATATCATTGTCAACGAGCGAGGCTGTGAGTAATTGGCAATTAGCAACGTTCCCCTGTGTGCATTTAGCTGAATTTCTTAACGGCAAACGTCGACAAGATATATCGCGTCGCGGGCGAATACATTTTATCGCGACGAGCCAGCAGGCTTTATGCGGGCGAGAACGAAATGGCGGGAAGAGATTAGCGTACGCGAGCGAGAGAGAGAGAGAGAGAGAGAGAGAGGGGGGGGGAGAGACTCCGAGAGGAGTGTTAATCGGTAATTTTTTTCAATTGCGGTCTTGTCCCTATTCCACGAAGATATCGCGAAAGCGATCCGAACGAATGAAAAACAATCGCTGTACAGCTCTCTCTCTCTCTCTCTCTCTCTCTCTCTCTCTCTCTCTCTCTCTCTCTCTCTCTCTCTCTCTCTCTCTCTCTCACAGTCCCTACTGTCACGTTCGGCATGTACGGTCCCTTGTTCCGTCTCCACCCTCTGCCCGGCCGGCTATAACACCAGCAGCAGCACCAAGTTTGAAGGGGTTAAATCGCGCAAACGCCCGAGATTCAGCGACGACTCCTGCGTGCCGCTCGCCATTCGGTGGCCACCGAGTGGGTGGCAACGTTTCGCGTGGGCGGCGTGCCCTAACGTATCGATATATGGCACGATTCGATCGGGCGATCGTCGAATATGCACGCCGAACCGTGACACTGATGGAATTTACGTCCGAACTGCCGGTCATTGAGCGAACTGCAGGGATTGGCACGACTGCAGCACGCAACAACGACGCGCAACGTTTGTTCTCTCTCTTTGTATCGCGTCCGCATGGTGTCCGGAAGTTTACGAAGAGGGGAAACTCCGCGCGAAACTCTCTCGCGGTGGGTGATTTACTTTTTTCTTATTTCGTGCGCGTGCGCAAGGAAGGGAGAGAGAGAGAGAGAGTGTGTTTCTTGTGCAAAACAGCTCAGAGATGTCGCATGCTCGTCGATTCTCGATCAGCGATCACAAAAGTGCCGCTTTTCCGGCGGGGAAGTCGCCGTTGCGCAACTTTGCAGCGCACACGCCCACCGGAAAAGTTTCATTTTCGCGGAATTACGCAGATACCTGCCGCGCCAACTTCCACCCTGCCCTCCCGAGTCTGGTTTGCGTGAAAGGAAAGAAAAAAAAAAAAAAAAAAAAAAATGGGAGAATCGAGCGTACGAAAAGATCCGGCCGGATTCAGAAACTATTCACGAACAAACGGCGC